CACCGCTGCCGCCCGGCCTCCCCGGATCCACAGCGACCCGCAGCCCCGGGCCGGAAGCGGGAAGCCGTGGGGGCGAGCTGCGCACGCGTGTCCCCGCCCCGAGGGCGGGTCAGAGGGCGTGGGCCCGGAAGGGGGCGGGGGTCGCCAGTCCGCAGGTCCCCGGAACTGCAGACCTTGTCTCTGGCTGAGCTTGGAGCGGGGCGGGAGGGACCTTCGCCCGGCCTTGTGGGGGACCCCAGGACCGAACCGGGAGGGTCTCTGCGAAAGGGGTGAGGATGATCCCCGGGGGCGGGTCAGCGGCGGTGGGGGGCGTCTTGAGGGAATCAGGGGGGCCTGGAGCGGGGGATGAGCGGGCGCCTGGGCATGGCTAAGGGGATCGAGCCTGGGGCGAAAAGTCTGAGGGCAGGGTGCAAGCAATGGAGAAAACAGGTCCGTCACCTGAGAAGAAGGGGCAGCGTAGATTACAGGAAGCTTGACAAATCTGGGGAAAATGAGCCATATGCCTCTCAGGTGGCCCCAGACACCCCAGCATGGGTACGACCGGATACCCCTAACGCATACGAGACACCCATGCGGGTGCCATCAGATGCTCAAAGCATGCTTTCGGGTACCCCCGAATAGGTCAGACACCCCACCTCGATCTGTCAGGTACCCCAGAGTATTCAGAATCTGAAAAACATGCCAAAATACCCAAAAGTACCAGATGCCTTCATCCAGGAGCCATCAGATACCCTCAAATAGAAACATCTCAGAGACCCTACTCAGAAACCTTTAGATACGCCCCCGAAACACATACTAGATACCCCCAGACAGGTATTCAGAGTCTAAAATACATGCCAGACCACCCCCCACACAGGTGTTCTCAGACACTGGAAGACATGCCAGGTGCCTCCCCCAGCACAGCCACCCCCTCAGGTGCCATCAGACTTCCCAGCTCTGAGGCTGCTTGTTCCAATCCAGGTGAGACAGTTGGGCAGTACCCAGGAGAGGAGCCAAGCACCTCTTTCACCAGTTCAAGCTGGCCAGCCAGGCCGAGATCTTTCCAAGCCAGACTCACTTCAAAACACCCACACTCTGTGGCCGAGAGCCCTCAGTTCAGACACGGGGTGGCAGTCCCCAAGTGACCTGCCTTCAGTTTAAGTCCATTTTGTCATGGTCAAGAGAGGGATCACATCCAGGAAATCGGAGGTTCCAGAAGTGCAAGGACATGCTTCTGAGCTCAGAAACCGGACACAGATACTTTTGAGGTCTCAATGGGTGTGTAAATGTTCACTCTCTGAGTTCCTATGACTTTTGGACTTTATTCCAAAGGCAGTGGGGAACCACTGAAGATTTTAAGCAGGAAAAGTGGCATGATCCTTATTGTTATAGCTACCTTGGTTATAGAAACCTTCAGGTTGGCACAGTTCTCCCCTAAATGTAAAAACCACCTTTCTCAAGGAGCCTGGCAACAAGGAGAGGTATCGCTCGTCTTTCTTTTATCTTTCCATTGTGCATTTATTATGTCCTTCTCATGGGCCAAGGACTCTGCTAAGAGCTAAGGAGACACAGGGAATGTAAGTCTATGGCAGTGTTTCTCAGTCTTGGCCCTATTGACAATTGGGGCTGGATAGTTGCCTGTTGTTGGGGGCTGTTCTGTGTATTGGAGGATGTTGAACAGCGCCCCTGGCCTCTATCCACTTAGGTGCAAGCAGCACCCCAGTCCTGACAACAAAAAATGCAAGATATTGCCAACGTCCTCTGGCTGAGAGCAACTGGCCTCAGAGACACTCAGACGCTGATACAGTCGCCCAGTCCACAATCCAGGCTTCCTGGGGGAGGTGGCCCTGGCTTTGTTCTAAAGGGTGAGTAAGAGTTAGGTGGCCACAGGAGTTCCAGGAACAGCACTGAATGAGCAAGGCACAGGTGTGTGTGGGCAGCCACGAGACTTCACGGTGGCTGAGCAGTGGAAGGCAAAAGTGAACAGGTAGGCGGGGTCAGACCATGAAGAACCTCAGAGGTCAAGGCCAGTAATAGGACTGTCTGGAGGGGTGCATGGGTGGCTCAGTCGGTCAAACGTCCGCCTTTGGCTCAGGACGTGATCCCATCGTCCTGGCTCATCGTCTACTTTTCCCTCTCCCTCTGCAGCTCCCCCTGCTTGAGTGCTCTATCACTCAAATAAAATCTTAAAAAAAAAAAACAAAACTATCTGGAATGGTGTTCTGTCAGTGGAGCTGGTCTCTGGGAAAGCATCTCAGCTTTACCCTGGCGACCCACCTTCCATAATTACCTGGAGTGTGACTCATTCCCTGTTCTGTTTAACTTACTACAGGGCTGTTTCCTCTAAGGGACAGATGGTGACATCCGGCTTTGAATATCTCCAGTGATGATAGGCTTGTGGCTACTGATACGTGGGAGGTGCCTGCTCTCAGCCTGTTTGGAGTGAGCCACAGCTGATCTGGCCCCACGGGCCTCCTACACAATTGTGGGAGCTGTGGTCAAAGCCCACGGTTGTGGGTCTGTGATTTAGCTGCTAGCTTTAACTCAACAACACATGGGGATGATGATGATGATGGATGCTAACATTGCCCATATGTGCCAGGCACCATGCTAAGGGCAACCCGCATATTTTCTTTTACAGCAACTCAAATCTGTGATCTCAAATGGCTGTCCTGAAAATCGAATGTTGTCTTCAGGAGGTGGAGCTTGATTCCCACCATCCTGAGAGGAGGCTGGATTGAGTTACTTGCTTCCAAAGACTAGAGTAGGGAGAGGAGAAGGATAGTAACCTGGCAGATGTTGCCTTAACCAGGGGATGAAGGTTAACATCCTCAGGGATATGAGATTGACAGCACTTAACCCCTGATCTGATGAGGCAAGAAGGTTCCCAAACCCATAACCCTGTCTAATTATGAGAAAACATCAGGCAAACCCCGATGGGGGTTGTCCTAGACACCTGGCTGATACCTCTCAAGACTGTCAAGGTCACGAACAATAAGGAAAGACTGAGAAGACTTCACAGACCAGGGAGACGAGGGAGACAGGATGATGAAAGAGAACACGGTATTCTGAATCGCGTCTGGAAACAGAACCCGAACGGAAGAAGAAACCTTGGCGACATCTGAGGAAAATCTGCAGTTTGATTAATAATACGGCACCAATGTGGATTCCTGAGTTGTGACCAATGTACGGTGGTCACAGAAGATGCTACCGTGACGGGAACCCGGGTGAAGTTAGAAGGGGACCCTTTCTGCTCTCTCCACTTTTCTGTGATTCTTAAATTAAAAGCTGAGGGGAGAAAAGGGGCTACCTACCCCCTCTGGGGGTGGGTGGGAGGAGTTAGTCTGTTGTGCCAAGTTAGTGCTAAGCATTATATGTGGATTGTCGACTGTGTGTGTATGGGGGGCAGGGCATCAGCGTCCCTAACCCCCTGCATTGTTCAAGGGTGAACTGTACAATTCTGTTGTTCGAACCACCCAGACTGTGGTATTTTGTGAGGCAGCTCGAGCTGAGGGTTTTTGCAGTGACAAAAGCTGAGACAGGTGTTTTGTGGGCCCTGAGGTATCCACATGGGTTCTGCCCTTAAGGGACCTGGTGAAGTCAGCATCCACCTGGCAAGGGTGAATGGGATGAGGACGCAAAAGGCAAAGGAGGCCACGAGAGAGAATGAGAGGCGATAAAGGAGAGAAAGTGGCTGCCATCCAGAGGGCTGGGCTGGGCCACGGGACTTACCAGAGCTTAGAAAGGGTTTGCCACACAGGGGGCAGCTGGAGTGGCAAAGGAAGGTTCCTTGCGCCAGCTGGTGCCCGTTGATACATTCTTTTCTCTCTGTAGCATCCTGACCCTTGTCCTTTAGAAGCACTGGGCTCTTCCCCTGTGGGGGATAGAAGTGAACCTTAGAATGCCTTGTGCATTCAGACCTACCTCGAATCACGGGGCTCCAGGGCCGGGGGCATACTGAAGAACTAGAGAAGGTAGAGGGAGGTCCCCCCTGGCCCGGCCCCCTGACCTTCTCCTTCTGCCTGGTGACCCGACAACGTAGGGAGCTCAGTCTGCGCTTCACCCTGGTGCTCCTGTTACTCCGCTCAATCTTGCTGGTGCCATCCTCGCTCCTAAGGGATGGAAAGATGAACGAGGTGGGGCAGCAGGGCCAGAGGGCCATTTTCAGCCTGTCCTGCAAGTTGCTCCTGGACCCCACCTGGAATTTGTCTCTTCCTCATGGCCCCCTAGTCCTGTTTCACTTCTTCTGTGGTCCCTGAACTCTCTCCTTCTGCCTCTCACTTATTCACTCAACAAACATTTACAGATGTTTGCAAAGTTCCAGGAACTGTGGGGCTGGGTTTACTGAGGGGACTGTGACATGGTCTCAAGCTTGGGGTCCCTCAGTGGGCAAGGCTGGAAATTCTGGCTCTGTCCATTTCTGTCTCCTCCCTCTGATTCACCCCTGACCCCAATATCTAATCAGCTTACAAATCCTGCCCATTCTTCCTTTGGGATATCTCTCAAATCCCACTCTCCTCTTCCCCCTAACACTCCAGCCCCAGATTACTGGATTACTGGTACCCCCTCATTTAATAAATACAGTTGACCCTTGAATAACTTAGGGATTAGGGTCACCAACCCCTTGCACAGTCAAAAATCCATGTATAACTTCCAACTCCCCCACAAAGTAACTACTGATAGCCTACTTTTGATCAGAAGCCTTACTGATAAAGTCAACAGTCAATGAACACATATTCTATGTGTTATAGGTATCAGGTGCTGGGTTCTAACCCAGCTGTAAACATGTCACCACGAGAGCCCACTCCAACCCCCAGGCCACACAGTCGGTGGTGGTGAAATGACTGGGTACACGGGGAGGGTCCGGGGGGTAGGAGCCAAGCAGGGCGGCGGGCAGGCAAACGCAGCAGGCTCCGTGTTTCCGGGAGGAAGCCCCGGGGAGGGTGGGGTTGGGGCAGGAGAGAGGGCCCAAGCTGCCCGCAGGCTCAGAGTCCGGGCCCTCGCAGCCCAGGCGGCTTAGGAAGCCTCTTCCCGAAGGCTCCCTGATAAGGACCCCAAGCCCCGCTGCCCTCCCCCGCTACCCCTAACTCCTAGGGAGGGCACCTGCCGCAGGGACGGTGACGGTGGCCCTGAGGTGGTCCCGCCCCAGTCCCCCAAAGGCCAGAGAAGTAAGCCAGAGAAAAGGAAATGTCATTAAGAAAATCGTAAAGGAGAAAAAATACATTTACAGTCGTATACTCTATTTATTGAAGAAAAATCCATGTATCAGCGGACACATGTAGTTCAAACCCGCGTTGTTCCAGCATCAGCTGTATTTATTAAGTCAGCGGCAAACAAACCCAGCCCCTGTAGAATCGATTCACTGGAGGGAGATCCCACAACTCCAGGCTGCAGCCCCTGCCCGCCCCCCAGCCCTGTCTGTGCTCACCATTATCAGTCACCAAAGAGCTGAGCTCCTTAGTGTCACTGAGGTGATCTGCTGACTTCCCTCCCCTTCCCTCTTCCCAGCCCCACCTGACACCATTCCTCAGGCCTTGCCCTTTCTTCAGGAAGGTGCCTCTTTATTTCCCCAATCCTCCTCTCCATGTGTTGGTGAACTCCTACTCTTCCATTGGAGACCAGCTCAAGCTGTCACCTCCTCCAGGAAGTCTTCCTCTGCCCTCCCAGGGTGAATGAGGAGCCTCCCCAGTCCCCATCACCACCGTTGCCTTGGCAGGTCCAGGGAGAGTATGGGGGCTCCACCTCCTGCCCCCAGCTTAGGGTCCTGCACAGAGGGCCACTGGAAACCATGTACAGATCCAGTGCAGGCCCCAGCCCAAAGGTCCCCCCTGTGGTAGCTCTGCAGACTTACTCAGACAGGAACTCAAACCAGGTGAGGTTTGCGTGGGCTCCTCCGGGGCTGGTTGACAAGCGAGACCTCTGCCGAGCCCTGCAGGATCAAAGGGGACAGGCCCCTGGGTCAGCGGCCCCTCATTCCCCAGCTGCCCCATCTTCTGCCTCCTCTCTCCCTCCTCCTTCCCCAGCTGCCCCATCTCCTGCCTCCTCTCTCCCCCAGTGCTTCCGTGTGCCCTGGAGCCACATCCGAGACCCCACCATCCCTCCATCCCTCCCACTGTGTGCTCTATCCATGATCACTGTGACTGGTTTTCCAGAAGAGGGTGGTAACACATCTTGATCAGACAAAATCAGCATGTCAGGAAGATTTTCTAGCAAATGGCGGTGTCTTGGGAAAGACGCACCGTTTCTCATTGGAGCTAACGTAACTCATGGGCTCCCTCATCCCCAGCTCATGTCCCCTGCCCTTTCCCTCATTAGTCCCTCCCCCCACCTCTCCTGTCCATGTTTCTCTCCCCTATCTCCCTGTCTTCTCCACACCTGTCCCCCACCTGTCCACTCCTATACTGTCCCCCTCCACTTTCCCCCCATACTTGTCTTCCGTGTCTGTCTTCCCACCCCTGTCCCCTCACACCTGTCCCCCTTCTCACTTACCCATGGTACTGCCGAAGTTCTTGAAGCACCTGCTGGACAATCAGCCTGGGGCAGGGGGCAGGGGGGAGTGTGGATAAAAACAGCTCACAGTTGCCCCAGGTCATAGACATGTTCCCCCAGCCAGCTGTGATTGCCCAACCAGGGCCCTGGTCCTGATGTAGACCCTGACCGGGAGACCCGACCCCTCCCCTGATGCTATACTGAGAACTCTTTGGAGAGGCCTGGGTCTCTCCTCTGGGAGAAGATGGTGTGGGAGAGAAGCCCGAGGTTATGGGAGGGTTGGGGAGGGACCCCAGCCTTGACCCTGTGGCTATCCCCTGGGGTCCCCTCCCCACCACTAGGCAGATACTCACACGTGGTCTGGCTCCACGTGGTCCTTTTCCATGCACTCCAGCACTGGGGGCTCCATGCCTGGAAGCAGCCCCCACCCCGGGAGGTACAGGCGTGAGGGGGCTCTGGGGCAGACCAGCCCCACCTGGGCCCCCTGTGACCCATCCCTGCACAACTGGAGACCTTCCAGATGGGGCTTGCCCTTCGGGGAGGAGAGGCACCAAGAGGGTAGAGAGCCAGCGTTGGGGGTGCACCCCTGGGTCTCAAGACTGCGGACAATGTGACAAGCGCTTTGCGCATGTGCACTCAGTGGACCCTCCAAGTAGCCCTAAGGAGATACACTTATTGTTCCATATTTTTCTTTATTCTTTATTTATTTTATTTTATTTTATTTTTTTTAAGATTTATTTATTTATTTGAGAGAGCGAGAATGAGAGAGAGTACATGAGAGGGAGGAGGGTCAGAGGGAGAAGCAGGCTTCCCGCCGAGCAGGGAGCCCGATGCGGGACTCGATGCCGGGACTCCAGGATCATGACCTGAGCCGAAGGCAGTCGCTTAACCAACTGAGCCACCCAGGCGCCCTATTCTTTATTTATTTTAGAGAGAGAGAGTGGAGGGGGGGACAGAAGGAGAGAGAGAGAGAGAGAGAGAAAATCTCAAGCAGACTCCCAGCTGAGCGTGGAGCCAACATGGGGCTCCATCTCACGACCCTGAGATCATGACCTGAGCGGAAATCAAGAGTTGGAGGCTTAACCGACTGAGCCACCCAGGCGCCCTTGATTCTTATAAAACCGCAAGGCTCAGAGACTTACTAGAAAGTGGTAGATTTGGGTTTAGACTTCAGGTCCCTCTGACAGCAGGGAGACACAAGCTCTTAGGACCGAGATTCAGAGATAACGAGGGAGCTAAAGTAGGGGACAGAGGTAGAAACAGAAGAAGAGCCCTAGGGGAGCAAGGGGACTGCAGTCCACCCGTAGCTGGAGGCCCCGGGGGAAGGGGAGGGGCAGGTGCTGGATGCCTCTCCCCTTCCACCTGCCCCCCCACCCCAGGAATTCTGCCCAGTTCCTTCGCATGGGGCCCCGAAGCCTCCCTCCCACCCATTAGTAGCCCTTTCCTCTCTCAGGCCTGTCTGGGGCTCCATCCAGGGAACCCTCCAGCAGAAACCCCCTACCCTTCTTGGTTTAAATGAGGGAAACCCTCAGGCTGGGCTACCTTGAACAGCTGGAGTGGGCACCTCCAAAGTGGGAGAGATTTCCAGGGAGCTGATCTCATCGAAGGACACAGGAACGGACCGTGACCTTACTCTTTTCTCAGGGCTGTCACATTCCTGCGGGGAATAAGCATCTCGCTAAGCCAGGGAGGCAGCTCGGGGTGCAGGCAAGCTCCCCAGATGGAGGGCCCACAGCCCCCAACCTCCAGCTGCAGGTAGGGGCACCCCTCAGCCACAGGGCACGGGGATGAATCTCCATAGCGGTGGCTGTGGGCTGGAGCCCCAAAACTCTGAGCTCCAGATTCCAGCCCATCAGGGGTTTCTCCCCAGGTCACGGTCCGGGGCAAAGATGCCCCAGCCACAGGCTACAGCCCTGACGCTGGAATCCCAGACCTGAGACAAGATCTACCAGTCACGGGCCGGGCTTCCTTCTAGCTGCAAAGATGCAGAGATCATCTCCTCTGCCTCCCAGATTATGGGTTGCACTTGTAACCGAGGGCCCCCTACTGTGGACCCCACTCCAGTGAAGAACCCTCAGGCTTGGGCTGCAATCTCAGGACTCGGTGACTCCCCAGTCTTGCGCTACCCAAGGACAGCCCCGCTGTGACAGGTAAGTCCTACCAGCTACGGGTAAGGAGCTCCTTCCCAGCTGCCACGCTGGCCCCTGGGCCCAGAGTTGTACCATTGTCAGGGGTGGCTGGAGGTGGCACCCACCTTGCCTGGGTGCCCTGCTGGGGTCCCACCCCCAGACAGACACTCCTGGGTCCAGGCCTGCAGATCCTCTCCGGGTAGGTTCAGAGCAAGGCTGGCCAGTGTCCGAGGGAGACAGGGCCCCTCCCTCACAGCCGAGGCCTCGAGGCTGAGCCTGCTGGAAGAAATGAGGAAGGCAGGTCTTCAGTGCGTCTCTTCCAGCTGGCAGTGGCCCCGGCGCCAGCATCCAGGGGCCTGAGGGGACCTGCAGGGCCATCCTTCTGGGGCGGGGAGGAGTGGTCAGAATCCGGAGGGGTGTTCGGTCTCCCTCCATCAGAGGGGTCGTCGGGGGAGCCTTGCCAGCGAATTTGCAGGTAGATCCATGTGTTTGCATGGCAGATTGGATTTCTACTTGCGGTGACTTGGGGCAGGGGTGTTGAGGGAGGCAGGTGGGGAAGGCACCGGCTGGTGGTGCGGGCTGACCTCTGCCAGCTCCCAGAGCAGCTCCGCGACCTCTCCCAGCTGCGTCTCCGAGGCAGGCCCTGGGTCTCTGCTGAGCTGCAGAAGGTCGATGCTCCTCCAGCCTCTTCGCTGGGGGGGCCGCTGTCGCCAGCCCCCCCAGGCTGGCTGTCGGAAAAGGCCCCAAGGCCCAGGTCCTGGAGATACTCGCTGCCCTGCAGGGCCCCCAAGTCCATGCTGAGGTCCTCCGTGCTGTAGCCGAGCTGCCCCGGAATACCATCCTCCTGTAGGCCGGTGTGGGGGGAGAAGGCGTTGACCAAGGGCAGCAGAGCAGAGGTCCCGGCACCGAGTCCCTGCCCATCCCCCTCCCGTCCAACCTGGGCCAGCGCCATTCTCGTGGCAGGTGGGGTGAATGGGGGTAGTCCCCCCGGCACTCTATCTAACCTGGGCCTTCAAGACCTCATTCCCAAAAAGGGGGCCAGAAGCCTGGACTTCTAGCCCTGATGCCACCTCACTCTCTGACGTTCCCTCTGATGGGCTTCGGAAAGCGGCGTTATGACCTTGGCCCTAGCCCCTCTCACCCGGCTTGTTCAAGGTCTTCGAATGCAGCTGCATGGACCTAAGTTATCCTGGATGCTAATGCAGAATTTCACGTGGTGTCGGGGCTCCCAGCGCAGTTACGTTAGCGCAGCATTTCTTTTTTAAAGTCGAGTAATGCAAGGAGATCCGTGATGAATGAGTTACCAAAATGTTAAAAAAGGACAGTATTGGACCCTGTGCTGTACCACTCACCTGGCTCCCGTCCCCTATTCCTGGCCCTGCTCCCTCTTACTGGAGTCTGGAACACCAGCGCTTAAGCCAATCAATACCTTCCCCTCCTGGATGGGTACAAGCCCAGGGGGCACATTACAAAAGGCTACTGGTCAGCTGCCTCTGCTTCTGGCCCCTCCGTAGCCTCAAGCCACTAACAGGCCTTATCCCTAGTAGCTCCACCACGAGGGGGCACTGTTATCCCACCCTCCGGATCAGAAGACTGAGGCTCAGGGAGGATGGAAGACTCTCCCTGGATCACAGGGCCAACCAATGACAGAGCCGGACTCAAACTCAGGTCTGTCTGGATCCAAGCCCTATGCTCTTTCTCACCCATCTCTCTTCTTCTCCTATTCCTTTTCTCTTCTCTCTCTCCCTCCAAATCATTCTATTTGCCTTTTTTTTTTTTTCCCCAGTCAGGGAACTTGCCTTTTCTTCTCCTTGGAAAACCTCTTCTCCCAGCCCACCTACAGTTTGGCCTGGAGAACTCCTATTCATCCTTCAAAAGCCAGCTTGGGCATGCCCTCCAGGCTGCCTTCCTGACTCCTCAAGTGTAGGTAAGATGTCCCTCCTCTGGGCTGTCACGATCTGCAGCCCAGGGACTTTCCTTGTCTAGGACTTTGTTAGGACTGACCTCAGACAGGGTTTGGTGGGTAGGAGGGTGGGTGGGCCTCCCCCATTGCTCCCTGAAAAGCCAATACTGAGACATAGCCCCAGGCATCTCTGTGGTCTCAGGCAGCCCTCAATGGACTGTCCCAGTTGGTGGCCTGAAGGGGCCACTGAGGGGACATGGCCCCCCTTCATGGACTTTACAGAAGTCCCCCAGGAGGGGTGCCTGGCTGGCTCAGTTGGTAGAGCAGGCGACTTTTTTTTTTTTTAAGGTTTATTTATTTATTTTAGAAAGAGAGAGAGAAAGCACGTGAGTGCAGGGGAAGGGGCAGAGGGAGAGGGAGAGAGAGAGAATCTTAAACAGACTCCCTGCTGAGCATGGAGCCCAAAGCAGGGCTCAATCCCAGGACCCTGAGATCATGAACTGAGCTGAAACCAAGAGTTGGATGCTTAACTGACTGAGCCACCCAGGCGCCCTGAGCATGCGACTCTTGATCTTGGGATAGTGAATTCAAGCCCATGTTGGGTGTAGAGATTACTTTAAAATAAAATTAAAAAAAAAGATTGGTGGTGATGTTAATAAATGTGATTTTTTGAAAAGTCCTCCAGGGGCACCTCGCCCTCTGCCCCTCCCCCGACTGGTGCTCCCTCTCTCTCTCTCTTTCTTTTTTTTTTTTAATGATTTTATTTATTTATTTGACAGAGAGACAGCGAGAGAGGGAACACAAGCAGGGAGAGTGGGAGAGGGAGAGGCAGGCTCCCCGCTGAGCAGGGAGCCCGATGCAGGGCTCGATCCCAGGACCCTGGGATCATGACCTGAGCTGAAGGCAGACGCTTAACGACTGAGCCACCCAGGCTCCCCCCCCGCCTCTCTTTCAAATAAATAAATAAAATCTTTGGAGGGGGCCGTCTGCCTTCGGCTCAGGTCATGATTTCAGGGTCCTGGGATTGAGCCCTGCATCAGGCTTCCTGCTCAGCGGGGAGCCTGCTTCTCCTTCTGCC